AAATAGATTATTTATGGCATGCCATAAATAATCAATTATTTAAAGTATTTACGTCACATATTTGGACACGTCGTAAAAGTTTAATATTTATAGCGTCGTAAAAGCATGCCGCATAGATTGATAGAAAAAAAAAATTTATTTACGATGTGCATAGGTATATGTCGTAAAAAATATTTATGGCATACATGTTGCACACCATAACAATGTATAATAATTTTTTTTTTTTTTTGGGAGGACCAATGTCGTGGGCCTGTTGTCATTCATTGCTTCCCTCTCCCTCTGCCTCTAAGTGCAAATTTCCAACTATGATTAGATATAAATATCTCTAACGTTGAATCGGACTTTAATCATTTTATGTTAGTATCAATTGGTTTCCAATCCCCAACACAAACAACATATTTGTCATCTGAGTGTTATTTATATTTTTAACTATACTTTTAGTCATTCCCTTGGTATATTCTTTCAATAATATATAAATTGTATTTTCGTATTGTTTCCCCATTTTCCAAACTTTACATCTGCCCCTAGTTGACCTTTATCTCTGATTTTTTTTATAATGCGAAATGGAATGCTATTTTCACCTCTAAAGTTTGTGTTTTATTATGAACCCAAACTTTTCTCAATTTTTTGAAAATAAAAATATCAGATCTCCACAATTTGATCAAAAAAATGATGAACAGATATTAATGTTGTGTATATTACCGTCTCTGTAATATGCATATGTACGCCGTAATAAAAGTTAAAGTATTTACGATGTGCTTTTGGAGGTTGTAAAAAGTTCCTTAATGACGTGCTTTCCTTTTCCCCTTTTTTTTTCCACGGCATGTAATGTATGTCACAAAAAGATGTGATATTTACAACATGACTTTATACGGCATTCATATGTACACCGTAAAGTGTAAACTTTATTTTAATGCTTTATGCTTTGGATGATCTATGAATGTTCTTGTGATTTAATGCATTTCATCTATTCGCATCATAAATACAGATATAATATGGTCATATGTGAGGATATATTCTAATTCTACTCGAGAGTGATTATTGGATAAATAAGGAACATTGATCTTCAAGTTTGAATAAGTGCTATCAAAGTCTTAAGTTGATATTAAATAGATGAATATAGGGAGATTCGATGTCTTGGTATTTCCTTTAATATCAAACGCTTATCCATGCTTTAATACTTAGCACGTTGTCTATAATTGAACGAATTTGTAACTATTTTAGTTTAATTATGCTAACTACAGGAGAAAACACAAGTCCGATGCAATTCGAATCAAATTGTATTTGCAAATTTGATTCGGAGTGATTAAAAATCAAATGATTGCATATGATCAATAATAAGCATTAATCTAGCAAATTGTAGATAACACTGTTGCTAAGGCGAGGGATGAGCGATAGTCGAGCGACAGGTTGTCGCTCGAGCGAAGGCCGACAAGCTAACGATGGTGATACTGTTTCTGACGCTCGAACCAAAACTTCTCGACAGTCTAGCAAAATTGCGGCGCCGTTTTACCTTCTTTTTCATTCTCAATATGTGACAACTGGGCAAAATGATAAGTAGGTCGAGCCCCTAATTGCCCCTAATTTCTAATGGCAAGATTCTCGATCCATCTTGGTTCCTTGGACTACCAAATGCAATCTTGGGTCAATGTAATTAATATTATTCAATAACAGGCTTCTAACGAAACCTATAAATGAAAGTCAACCCGATTAGTCATCATCACCCCGAATATGTATTTTGGTATCAAATACATAAAGTGGGATTGAAGGTTTCTGCACCAGGCAACAGACCAAACACCGACGGAATTCACGTGGAGAAATCAACAGGAGTCACAATTATGAACTCTCGAGTTGGCACAGGAGATGATTGTGTCTCTATAGGCCCTGGCACCTCCAACTTGTGGATCGAAAACATCGAATGTGGCCCTGGCCATGGAATTAGGTACTAAAAATGTAAAGTAATTTTTATTTAAATCGATAGCCCACAATGGATATAATTATATAACATAATGTATCCCAACGATTTATTTAGCTACGTTAATTATTTTTTTTTTCCTTTTTTGCAGCATTGGGAGTCTAGGGTGGGAATTGCAAGAACCCGGAGTGCAAAATGTGACAGTTAAATCAGCTACATTTACAGGAACACAAAACGGGGTTAGAGTGAAGACATGGGCTAGGCCAAGCAATGGATTTGTTAAATATATTCTTTTCCAGCATTTAGTCATGGTTAATGTCGAAAACCCCATAATTATTGACCAAAATTACTGTCCCGACGACCACAATTGCCCTAATCAGGTAACTAAGACATAGGAACTCTTTTAATAATAATGATAATAATAATAATAATCAAGGAATTTACACCATTCAATTGTAAATTAATTCTGCAAAGTGTTCTTAATTTTTTAGGTTTCAGGCGTGAAGATTAGTGATGTAACATATCAAGACATACATGGGAGTTCGGCAACAGAAACTGCAATGAAATTTGACTGCAGTAAAGGAAATCCATGCAATGATATTACCTTGGAAGATGTTAAGCTGACCTACAAAAATGAGCCGGCTCATTCGTCATGCATTAATGCCATTGGGAAGTTTTCCGGCTTAGTTGAGCCTAATAGCTGCTTGTATAATTAGAAAATTATGTATAGTATTTATACTTATACAAGAATATAGGTCATTTACATAAAATCGAGCTATGGAATAAAGAATATAATAAGAATAGAAAATTGGTCTTTAATACAAGAAATCAAAGTTTTCATATGAATGATAGTTGAAAACAAAAGATTGGTACTCGGTGTAATCTGATATCCAATTATCACGTGATACGATAAACCATCGATGGATTTTTTTCAGTTAATGCCAAGTAAAGTTATAACATATTTGAATATATGACTTTATAAGGAAAATGAAAATTCAATGCTCAGGTCTAATATGCTAAAATTATTCATAATATCACTTGCAAAAAAGTAATGCACAAATATGGGTGAAGGAAAGAGGTGGTGGGTAGACTCGCTAGCGTGAATCGGGCGACTCTTTCTTCTTGTTCCATACTTGAACCTAAAGACTCCTAATCCATCTATACAACCCTCTAAAAAACTCATTAACTTTTAAAACTCTTTTGTAACAATTTTATTCTTTTACAATAATCATTTTGTTTGAAGAATTATCAATACAACTAAAACCCAAACAATCTCCCCCTTGGCATTCTGTGACAAAATTAATGCAAGTCAAGGATGTAAAAACAAAACTAATCTACCCAAGCTTAAACTGAATGTCTATTTATTCCATTTCCTGAAACATGTTTACTGAAATCAATAAATTAAATACGAAGTGTAAAAACATGTGATACATGAAATATAACAATTGAAACAGACTATCTGATGAAGGCAAAATAATAACTCAATTTAACTTTGGGTTTGTTCGTTTTTTACGAAGTACTAGTCTAATTTGAATGGAAACGGGCCAATGATCACAACTCAGAGCTTTTGGCCCTGAAGCACCTCAAATTTTGGGCAAATTCCATAGTTTAGGCCCTCAAATTATGCGTTTTTGCCATTTATAGTAATTTTTGTTATGGCAATATCTTAGTCAAATAAACTCGGATTTGATTTCCGTTTGTTGGGGGATGATCCTGATGATTAGGAGAATCAAGATCCGTGATTATCTCAATTTTTTCCGTTTTCGGAAAAATTAATATTTTTTATTATTATGTAATTTCTTTCCAAATTTTATTAGGATTTCGCTATTTAAACGTTGTAAGCCTTTTGAGGCAGCTCAGTTTTGAATGAAATAAAGTTTTCTTGAATTTCTCTTGATTTAAATTCTTTTTTGTGAGATTTTTGTCTTTCCTATAAGCTTCCACTGCATCACTATCATATGCTAGCTAGATTGAAAAGTAATACTAATATTAATCAAAACACCAACTGAAACATTAATATCACAAAATATCAAATCTGCAAAAAAAATCTCCCCTTTACTACAAAATAAACTAAAATTTAAAACCATGTAAAATTTAAAAATATCTAAAATTTAAACTAAAATTTACAAAAAAAATCATCATCTAAAATTAAAAAAATCTAAAATTTAAAAACATATCATCATCTCCTCCCCCCCTCCCCCCTGTTTTTTATCACAAATGACAAAGGTAACAACATTATATAATAACTCAAATATGCAGTTGATAGCATGTACAAACATAATCAATGATTAGTAACCTTTTCCACATACTCAGTTCAAGTCTAAATGTTGTAAATTGTATAAGTGACTAATGTGTATTAAGTGTCACTAATTTCTTGTGATCAAGACTTCAAATCTTAAATTTGTGAGAAATGACATGCTAAAGACCACTGTTAAACAAATTTATTCTTCTACTAATGAATGTCATATCAATAATACATATTAGGACCTATATGTAAAGCTCTTTTTTCATGTACATTATTATTTTCTTCCCGTTACTTTGAGCATATATATTTTTTCACACAATTTATATTTTTCTTTTTAAGCTCATCATTTTTATCTTCAATTTTTCACATCTTATGTGCAAACTCTTCTCTATTAAGCAACTAAGATGACCCCTATAACGAGTTTTGGGCCGATGACTAAAAGTCAGTTGACCATAGGACATCAGGTTATAAGAAACCACTCGAGATTAATTACTCGAGTCAACTAGATTTCGAAGAAGAGTATAAGATGAAACATTTTTATTTTATTAAGGGAATGCACTTGAGTTTAGGTATACTAAATTAAGGTCAATCTATATTCAAGGTCACCTTACCAACTTATGACGGCCATTTCAAATCCCACACACACGGCCAAAACTTATTCACAAGATCATAGTGTATGTAGTGTAGACGGTACATGAAAAAACTTATACTAAGTACTTCATATCAACTTAAACAAAGTAATTGAAAATATGCTATAGTACATCAATTAAACTCATACTTGGTCACAACATACATGTTTAAGTAAATTATATATCATTCTGTAATAAAAAAATTCTCCTCTGTTTTTTATTTTTCAAATTTTCATTTTATTTTATAAAAAATCAACCTACCTAAAAAAAAAAAAAAAGGAGATGCATGCATTAATGATCAAATCAATTAAAAAAACATAAGCATGCATCAAAAGTACATAATCGATTAAGTATACAAACACTCATACCTTTAAGAGTATCATGATCAATTTCTAATTTTTTCAGATCACTCTTTTTCACCCAAACCTGACTAATGAAAGACTTATCCCAAGTCAATTCTGTCATAAATTTTGTCAAATAACTCACTTGATTAGCAAGGAAATCAATACAGCCATCAAAATCCTGATTTCTAACTGTAATGAAATTCTAATTTCTATTTCTGTTCAGGAATTTATGACACCAAGGCCTCATATGCCCTAACTCACCACAATTGAAATGAGTAGGGATAAACCTAGGTCCAAAGTTATGTGGTCACTGATATCTATTCCTAGGTTGGTGGTCATACACTGTCTCGTAGACTTCTTTCCTACGATACCTTTATTCTTGAGTTCAGGATTAGGAACATATGTATTCTTGTTGGTAGCAGGGATAAAAATGATTTTGAAAGTACTAGCCCTATTATAATCAGTCTTATTATATCCTAGGCCTCCCTTGTTCCCAATTGGCTTGTTCAGCCCAAAAAGACTTCCAATTTTTGAGATCTACTAGAGAAAACAAGAAGTTGAGACTTGTAATCTTCAAGTTCACTCAAAGGTTCTTAACCTAGATTTCTAATTTTTCATTCTCAGCGGTCAGCTCACTAACTCTTTTAGGGACTTCTCAAGTTCACCTGTAAGATCTTTACAGTTTCTAGGGATCGATTTACAGTTTCTAATTTGTTGAGGCACAAGGTAGACTCTTGAAGGTCAACTGCAAGTTTATCTCTAATTAGCTCAAGCTCATTGACCTTCTTAAGCACAACTTTATTCACCTTCTTAATCTTAATACCCTCTTCAAATAATTTTTGATAAGTCTCATGAGTCTCATCCTCATTTTCAGAATCATCACAGATTGCTCAACACTATCTAGTTTTTCAACTTTCTCACTCCTTATTGGAATTCACTTTTAATCCTAGTAGTGAAGGCCATAAACTTTCCACTATTTTCATGTGTAGACATCTCACTTTGATTATCCGAGCTAGGCTCATCATCAGTGAGAGTTGCATTCATAGCCTTACCCTGATTTCTCTTACGACACTCACTTTTATAGTGACCAAAACCTTGACACTTATGACATTTCACAGATTTAGATCTCTTTTTAGACTCACTGGAATCACCTCTATGTCTTTATTTAGATGTTTAGTGAATCAAATCAAATTATCTTATATTGAATTGTCGCAATAAATAATTAAAGCAGTAAATAACATAAGATTTGATGATGAAAAAACCCTTAACTTGGTATAAACTTCGAGATCAAGTCAGAAGTTTTCACAATAGACAATAAGAACTTATAGTAGAATTTAGCCTAGAAAACACACTAGACTCGTTGATCTAATTCTGCAATGTCCAAGACCCGCTGGAACTATCTATCTCCTACGGAACACCAAGAGCGCATCGTTCTTGTACTCTGCTTGTGCTTCTAGTCCAACCTCCCTCAATCTTCAGCAATCTCTGAAATCCATTGAGAAAGTATCTTCTGAGAAAAATCTAGGAATTCCTAAAAAAATCTAGGAAGTGAGTATTTTAGATTATATGAATTTCAATGTTTTTTTCCAAACTTGTGGTTGATTGATCTCAAGAATCAAAAGGTTAATCTAAATTGTTGAATGTGTTCTTGGATCTTGGAATGATGTCATGAAGATGTAAATCAATGATCAACAGTACTAAAAAATGTACTGGGCATTTGGTATTTATAATCTGAGGAGTTTAGGTAGTATATGATAGATAAAACCCTTGAGAAATGCAAATTAGGATTACTCGAACAGCACCATCGCTCGAGTGTCAGGCGAGTGAGATGTGCGTCCCTCGAGTGAGAGGCGGGTGACAATGATTCTGCTTTGGATGCTGTAGCATCAACTAGGTGACGGGCTAGCCTAAATTCGACGACTTTTTCTTCTTGTTCCATACTCGAATCCAAAGACTCCTTAATTTTTACAACTCTTTTGTAACAATTCTATTCTTTTACAATGATCATTTTGTCTAAAAAATTGCCAATATAACTAAAAACCTAACAGGGTCGAGACATTTTTGACACCATTTACCACATGAATACCATCACTCAATATCTACCTGAAGTCCAACATCTACGGCACTGTGAAGGCCTTTATGTAGCGCCAATGCTTGAGCATCTTGTGGTGAAAAATGCACTGCTTTCGTAAAAGCTGCCAAAACAAACCCAAATTGATCTTACACCCACACCTATGCAGTCAAGATTATTTTGCACTACAGCATTTGTACTTGCTTTAGGAGCCTGCTGATCCACATGCTGATCCATGGTTTTGTACTTGACAAGTTATTTATAATTGAGTGAATGTGTACAATGTACCTATTTTAATGTAATTATGTTAATCATACGAGAAAACCCGACTCCAATGTAATTGTCATGAAGAGAGATGATTTCGAGTAAAATTAGAGTTGATTCGGAGTAATTCAAGATCAACTCATTGCACATGATCAATAAGAAG